GGAGAGATAAAGGTAGATTATGAGAAAAGACCAATAAAGATGGGGAAATATCGAGGAGACGTTTAATAAATGTAAAAACAATTTTAGAAACCAATAGGTGTTGCAGAAAAGAATGGAGAAAGCCGAGTGGATACAGCTTTGGTAGAAAGAGGAGGAAAGATGAGACCACGCAGAAAAGCAGGGTGAGACAGTGAAAGACGAAAATACTGCAAGATGAAAGAAAGCGATAATGCGGAAAATACGGTGGTGGATATGAAAAACAATTCTAGAAAATAAGAAAGAAAGCGAGAGTATTCGCAGAAAGCGATGTAAAACATAGAAAGAGAAGAAAGACAAGTAAAGGTAGAAAACGACAAATGGATGAGACGAGGAAAGAGGACACAAAAGAAGATAGCGTACGAAGGGAGGATGGCTCAGATGGGACGTGAACAGGGACAGGAATGTGTTGGCCACAAGATAGCTTAGTTTGAGTGGGTGGCGCTGAGCGTGTGGGCATGCCGAGTTGTATCTAAAAAGTGGATGAAGGATGGAATCACGTAGAGCAACTCGGGTGAGCCGAAGAAAGACAAAACAAAATGCGAGATAAGAGAAAGTAGTGGAAACGCGGCGATGGATGTGAGAAACAATTCTACGAAATAAGGAAGGAAGTGGGATGATTTTGAGAAAGCGAAGTAATGCATCGAATAAGGATAAAAGACGACTAAACGCAGAAAAAGGCAAATAGATGAGACGAGAGAAGAGGAAACGAAAGGACGAGACACATGCGAGGCGAGAATGCACAGCTGGGATGCAAACAGGGACGAGGGGTGGAGCAAGCGGGTAGGTTGGTTTGAGAGGGGTCGGAGCAGAGCGTGCGGTCGGAGCGAGGTGAAGGCGAAGGCCGGGCATTTGGGGGCGGGGAGGATCTGGGATGGGTGTAGCAGAGCGAAGCAACGGGATCCGGGGAGACGAGCAGGAGCGGAGCAGAGCAGGGCGGAGCGGGGCGGGGTTGAGTAGATCGGGGCGGAGCGGGGCTAAGCGGAGCGGGGCTAA